AGGCGCGCGTTCGCGTCAGCAAACTTTGTCAACTTTGACAGGCCATAACTTTTGCGTTTCTTATCTGATTTTTGCGTGTGACCTTTCGTTGGAAATCTCTTCAAGTCTAGTTTCCAATGCAATTGGAATCACTGTATATCATTTATATATCAAAAGTTATGATAAGAATAGTGCACCTGACTCAAATTTGAACTTTTTCCCACTAACACCTTGTTTCTTTCTTTCCCTATTTTGTTCCAAAGAGATGCATTGCAATCCTCGAGGCTTTGGTGACATTGATGTGGTGATGATGATGAGTAGTCACCTTGACTACTAGATTCCCTTTAAGACAATGAGGACATTGTCTAATTTAGCTTGGGGGAGGTTCTCGTGTGCGCTTGGTATATCTTTCACCCTCTCTCTTTTATTTTATTATTTTTTTTTCTTTTGGTGTGATGAAAATTTTTCGAAATTGTTTTGATTCTTGGTTATTGATGATAAATATTGAGGATAAGTTGATTATGATTTGATATTTGATTGCCTTGAAACTTTAACATGCGTCAATTTTGTCCAACTACTTGTGAATATAGTGCTTGACTAGTTGATTTGGTTAGGAAATATGTGATAGTTCCATAGTTCCTGGTATGTCAAGGAAATTAAGTATTGGTTTGCAACTATTAGTAATATTTATATGATTCATTATTATGCACATTGAGGAGAACGAAGGCATTTGTTCTTTTAGGTAGCCTCCAGATATTGTAGATACATTTGTTCCCTTCTTGCTACCCATGTTGTTGCCTTGACTTTTTGTTGTTTATTAGCCATATTACAAGCCTATTTTGCCCTATTGGTTATTAGTCCCAAGCTTGGCTTGGGGGAGCTATTAGTGAGTGAGGTGAGGGAGTTTGTAGTGTGCTTATTATTTGTACAATTTGGGTGGGTTTTGAGAAGTTGTTTTGTTGTTGATCATGTTTATTTTTGATGAGTTTGAGAGTTATATTTTCTTGAAAAAATAAAGCATGATGTTATGAAGAAAAAAAAAAAGAGAAGTTCCTGAAAAAAATGTTGAAAAATAAGTGAACTTCAAAAGAAAAGAGAAAAAATGTTCAAATGTTCTAGTAGGAGGTTGATCAAAAGAGAAATAATTTTGAGCCTCAATGAAAAATTCAAGTTTGGAAAATAAAGTTTGTTTATTCACTCCACTTCTTCATTATTATATCTTATGAGTGAAATTGTAAGAGTTGGGATTGTTTATTATGATTGGAGTATTTTTTTGGTGGATGTTAGAGTTGGTTATGTAGGAGATGTTGATCATTATTTATTTTAATCATGGGTTTTACTAGGATTTGCTCCCTTTAAGCATAGCTTTTCTCTCACTTATTCCCAAATGATTCCTACCCTTTACCCTAGCCTTACATTACAAGCTTCAAAGACCTTCCGACCTTTGTGCATAGAGTTGTATGAATGTGAAAGTGTTGTTTATGAATGCAAGTTATGATTTGACATATTTCAAGTCGACTATAGGTTGAGCGTACATCTTTTTTTACACACGAGAGTGTGAGTTGGGAGGGCATTGTTCACATAAAGGGGTTGGTTGGAGAGCGATCGAATACATCTTTTACTCGCCACATAAATGAGAGTTGAGTGTGTAAGCACTAGTCTTGAATTCTATATGCTCTCGTGGTTTGCTCTATATGACAATTGTTAGGGAAGATTAGTAGTTAGATGAATTTGATTGGTTGACTTTAATACATGTTTGTCAGATTTACCTTGAATCGTATTTATTGATTTAAATTATTTTGGGGGTGAAATATTGATTTATTTATTCATTGCTTTGCTTAGGGACAAGCAAAGGTTTGGCTTGGGGGAGTTTGATGAGTCTATTTTATATATATATTTATTCCCCGTCCCACGGTCATATTTGTGCTTATTTGAGCTCTACGGAGCTATTTTTATTACTAATATACGTTTTCTAGTGTTTTTGTAGAGTTGGTATTATTTTGTAAGAATTTACAGAATTATGACAATTTCCGAACTTATTGAGGCACTACAAAGATATTGGAGTTTGATCGTATTTTATGACTGTATATTTTAAGCCCAATGCAGAGTTAGAGAAATTTAAGAAGTGAAGAAACTTGGGATAATCAATTCTGAAAGCCCAGATCCAAGAACAAAAGGGAGCAGTGAAGCCCAATTCGCAGCCCCAACTGACCGGGCTCGATCGGGCGAGTCTTGGCCCGATCGGGATGATATCATCAGCGCCTACTTCAGATATTTGGGCTTTGTTGATTTTGGGCTCATCATTGTACACCGAATTCTTGGAAAGGCTTCTATTTAATTTGTTTCCTTGGTTTAGTAGGAAGAGGATTAGAAGTTGACTTGGTCTTCTTTTCCTTTTCCTATATAAGGAGGTAGTACGGGGTAGGGAGTTTGGGGTAGTAGTTTAGGGTTCGTTTGGCATTACTTTGGTTTTCTATTTTTTAGTTTTTTGTTGTATAAAAGTATATGATATATGTCACATAATAAATCAAAAATTATTTAAACTTGTTAGAATTATAACAAATATGAAAACTGACAACAAAAAAGTGAAAACACCTTTTTCTTGTTTTCTGTTTTTGGTTTTTAGTTTTCAAAAAAACAGGAAACAAAAAACAAAAAATGATGCCAAACATGTCCTTAGTTTTTAGTTTTGTTCTTTTCTTAATTTAATTTTTCATTAGTTTTAAATTAGTTTTAGTTTTAGTTTTCTTTTCTCTTTCTCTCTCTAACTCTTTTCTCTCTCCTCTTAAACTCTTAGTATTATTTTCTCTCTCTATAACTCTTGGTTTAATTTTATTGGGAACCATATATGACCATTATATATTGTCATCAATGTCCGTGGTAGGTTTGAGTTCACAAAATTGGTAAAAATTGTAAACGAGTAAATTGACCGTTTTAAGGCAAATTGGGTGGTTCCACCCACCTAATTTTACTCCCGGAGGATATTAGGGACCATGTTAAAAATCTCGGCAATTTTTATTTCCGGGCGAAAAAAGGTCAAACAATTTCAAAATTGAAAACTATTATCCACACTTTTTGAGGAATTTCAGAGGTCACGGGACCCAATGGCGAAAAGTTTTGAGGTCCTAGGGGATACATCTCACGGTCGTATAATGCCGTTTGGAACCATATATGACCATTATATGTTGTCATAAATGTTCGTGGTAGGCTTGAGTTCATGAAATTGGTGCAAGTATTGAATGGGGGTAAATTGATCGTTTTAAGGCAAATTGGATGGTACCACCTACCTAATTGTACTTCTGGAGGGTATTAGGGACCATGGTAAACTTCTCGGCAATTTTTATTTTTGGACGAAAAAAGGTCAAAAAATTAAAAAATTGAAGACTATTATCCACGCTTTTTGAGGAATTTCTGAGGTCACGAGGCCCAGTGGCGAAAAGTTTTGAAGCCGTAGGGGATACATCTCAGGGTCGTATAATGCCGTTTAGAACCATATATGACCATTATATGTTGTCATAAATGTCCGTGATAGGCTTGAGTTCACGAAATTGGTGCAAGTATTGAACAGGATAAATTGATCGTTTTAAGGCAAATTGGATGGTACCACCTACCTAATTGTACTTCCGGAGGGTATTAGGGACCATGGTAAACTTCTCGGAAATTTTTATTTACGGACAAAAAAAGGTCAAAAAAATCAAAAATTAAAGACTATTATCCACGCTTTTTGAGGAATTTCTGAGGTCACGGGGTCCGGTGGCAAAAAGTTTTGAGCCCTAGGGGATACATCTTAGAATCGTATAATGCCGTTTGGAACCATATATGACCATTATATGTTGTCATAAATGCCCGTGGTAGGCTTGAGTTCACGAAATCAGTGCAAGTATTGAACGGGTAAACTAATCGTTTTAAGGAAAATTGGATGGTACCACTTACCTAATTGTACTTCCGGAGGGTATTAGGGACCATGGCAAACTTCTCGGAAATTTTTATTTTTGGGCGGAAAAAGGTCAAAAAAAATTCAAAAATTGAAGCCTATTATCCACGTTTTTTGAGGAATTTCAGAGGTTCCGGGCTCCGATGTCTAAAAGTCTTAAGGCCCTAGAGGATACATCTCAGAATCATATAATGCCTTTTGGAACCATATAAGACCATTATATGTCATAAATGTCTGTGGTAGACTTGAATTCACAAAATCGATGCAAGTATGAACGGGTAAATTGACCGTTTTAAAGCAAATTGAATGGTTTCTCCGAACTTATTGGACTCCCGGAGGGTATTAGGGATCATGGTAAACATCCCGACAAATTTTATTTCCGGTAAAAAAAAGGTTAAAAAATTCAAAAATTGAAGACTATTTATCCACGTTTTTTCAGGAATTTCGAAGGTTACGGGGCCTGGTGGCAAAAAGTTTTGAGGCCTTATAGGATACATCTTAGGGTCATATAATGCCGTTTGGAACCATATATGAGCATTATAAGTTGTCATAAATGTTTGTGGTAGGCTTGAGTTCACGAAATCGATGCAAGTTGTAAACAGGGTAATCGACCATTTTAAGGACAATTGGATGGTTCCACCCACCTAATTGGACTCCCGGAGGGTAATAGGGACCATGGTGAATAACTCGCCATTTTTATTTTCCGCGCGAAAAAAGGTCAAAAAATTCTAAAATTAACACGTATTTTTAATGAATTTCAGAGGTTACGGGAACTGGTGGCGAAAAATTTTGAGACCATAGGGGATAAATCTCAGGGTTTTCATTAATTGGTGGTAAGTTTAAGTTTTCATAAATCGTGGATAAACATATGACCATTGGATGTGTCATGCAATGTATGTACTCTATATATTCTCCAAAAATTGTTACAAGCATATTAGTGTTGATATAGGCATTAATCTATTGTTCTCATACAATATTTTGGGATTATAGTAGCGTAGCAAATAAGATCTGACTAAACAACGTAAGTGTTACCCAGCTCATTATTATTACCAGAAAATAGGTATAATCATTCATCTTTGACGAGGTGTTTCAGCAGATTTAAGCCTGCAACATATTCAAGATAAATTATCACACAGTATCCAATTGCATTGTCATATTAAGCACAAAGGTTCACATTTAACAAACCCATCACTTGAAGACAAATGTACTTGGAAGAATTTTAAACGCTACAATTTGATTGATAAACATTACATGAATTTGGCATGACAAAGATCAACCAACGACTTAAATTATCATACGCATTACATAAACTTGGCATGATATAGAACAGCATGGGTCATTTCTTGAGGTGTGGGAAACAAGCATCAACGGCATGCTTCGGATGCTTTGCTTCAGCATGCTCACGGCATTTTACCTCTGAAGTGGTGCATATGAATGTCTGCATACACACCTTGCACTGCATCCATCATTCAAAAGTTAAATTCCAGTACAAATAGTGATAAAGTATTTTAAAAGTTTAAAGAAGAATTTAGCACTAGAATCCTCCCAAGTTTGATGATGCAACAGAGACAATAATTTATATTACTATGTATTTTGTTATAGAGGTACAAAACTAAACAATCAAGAGTGTTTCATGGTAATGAAAGGCCACATAAAGTTGCATTCTTTCAAGTGCCACAAGGCTCACAATAAACAAATCAGCATTAGCCACCTTCTAGCATCATCAATTACTACGATAAGATAAAGGTGTGAGCTCAATAGTAGTTGGGAATGGAAATCCAACGCAGATTACATTGACTTGAGATCATGAAACACTTTCATCACAAAGAATTTGGCACTGTGGTTTTGGGACAAAGAGCAACATACAGAAAAGCCAAAGAAAGATGGATAGCTAATATAGTTTTCAAATACAACTTCAAAAGCTAGATCAGTATGTATCAGTATCGTAAGATATGTAGCAATTCATAGAAAAATCACAATATGAAGAGCTTCAGGTAAGACAATAAATCAAATGAAGTAAAAAACACTCCAGCATATTTGTTTATAACAAGCTAAACCAAATCACCCTTGAATATAGACTATAATTCAAACCAGATCACTAGCACTTAAGATCCCACTTTTTCAAATGTGAATTCAGAGTCAAGCTTGAATAGATTACGACAACTTACATCTAAGTGCAGATTATATAACAAGATCAGCAGGATCATTTATTGCCTAGGAAGCTAGGACACCAGGAGCTCCTCTAACGATAGACAATGTAACACTTTGCAATTTGAAAGGATAGGTCCATCAAAGGGATTAGATTACATATATAATTTTAATGAGTTAGTACGTGTGATCATGTAAATTTTCAGAGTCCGACAAGGTATAACCGTATAAAGCAATAGGCAGTACTCTTCATAGAAAAAATAACAAAAAGTAGCAGCTTCTGAGTCTTGAGTTATTAACTACTGAACCTATGTTGTGGGATCCCTTGACAAAAAGTATGATAGCAAGGGATTCTCAAGCACGCAATTAGGGGTCAAAGTACACCAGATCATATAGGAGCTTCGGATAGCAAACACAAAGCAGCTTATTAATTTTGTTCAAGATCGATATCCAAGCTATTGCAAGCAATATTAGTCCAATCACACAAAATTCGATATATATAAAACTAAGATTCTACAACATTAATAGCAATTAGTTCCACAGTTGCAGCATTTGCAGACAAATATAGTGTTCGAATCACAGAATTTCAGTATACATCCAAATTCCCATATAGATAATTGAACAGCTTGAAAACTAAGCAACATCTTTACCAACTCTCACTATATATCACAAAAATATAATCAAGCACAAAAGGCAGTAAAAAAAAAAAAAAAAAACAATTTCAAAAGAAACAGATATTGATAATGCAAAGAGCATAACTACCTGAATAGTCATGGCTTTTTTATTCGCATCCAGTTGGCTTCCTGCACCAGATCAAACCAAACCAAAACATCAACAAAAATTCCATGAAATCTCAACTTGATTACACAATTACATGCAAAATATAGTCAAAATTATCACGTAAAAGATTCAGAAAGAAGTAATTAAGTCGAATTTTTCATCAATTGTTCAAGAAGAATTTTGTCGATTTTCCAAGAAATTGACCCAAAAATACAGTAGAATAAGAAGAAAGGACCTTTGGCAGCTTTGTTCTTCTCCAAGTTTCTTTCGCGAGCAGTCTTGGATTTCTGGGCGTTGCCTCCTCCCATGATTTCGCAGTTCAAAGATGCAAACCCTAATTCGGGAGGATTTGGTACAATAAGAAAGGGGGGTTGGGGGATCAGGAAAGAGAGGCTCACCGCAAAATCTAAAATCTAAAAAAAAAAAAGAAAGTGGGAGAAATAAGGTGGGCAAAAAAAGAGAATTTAGTGCAACCCTACCAAGTAGAATTTTACAATTGTATAATTATTCTACCACGGAGTATACTAGATAGTAGATACGCGTCTTCCACTTGCCAACGGCCCACCGTCCTATCTAACATCTACTAGTCTATTATCACTCCGTAACCTAATTAATTTTTTTAGTGTTTAGAGAGACATAAAGGGCGGGGGTTGAGAATCGATCCAAGAACTCCTTTAATCGGGAGGGAAGCTTTAACCACTTTAGTTATCCCTCACTCTTGCTCCGCAACTTAATTAATTAGACAAGTGATTAACCAAATTGGTATAAAACTTAGCATTACTTTCGTTCTTTGTGACAATTTGACAATACTATCAAAGTTGTCAATTGTGACAAATGTGTATAAAACTTTATTCACAAATAAGTATAGTAGCTTGTTATATTTATTTGTAAGAGGGGGAGTGTAATGTCACACGTTAATAGTTAAATAATAGAATTGGTTTTTATTAACTCCGTATTAGAAAATTGTAGTTATATTTTGTATTCTCTCTATTGTTCATTTTAAAATATATCAGTTTGATCGGTATATTTGTCAAGATGTAACTTTGACCATTAATATCTTTTATTGTCATTAGTAAAAATTATAACAAGATTATAGTATGAAAGTAGATATTATGACGAATCTAACAATATATTAAATAATAACATTTATTTAATTTACTATTATAATAGTGTGAAAATCAATTCAATACATTTAAAAAAAAAACGGAGAAAGTATATAGATAAGCAATATGTCGTTTTCATTTACTTGCCCATTGATTGTCATATACGCCTTTAACCAAATTTTATAGTACAAGTGTGACCCAATACAAAAAAATTAAATGTATACACAGTTACACACGGAATAAAAGGTGTAATGCAGTAATGTTACTAATGGAGTATAATGGATTAATGGTCACCGCAAGTTCTAGAATGTATAAGATCTAAATGGGCACTGTCTGTTGTAGACTTGCAGTAGTTAGTTAACTCCACTTTGGGAAGTTCTCTCAGTCTCTGGTGTATTTCACCTTTTGCGGCTTTGCCTCTACTCTTTTTTGTTTTCTTTTAATTTCCCTTTTTTTAAAATAGAAAAAAAAAAAAAACTTCTTCTGTTCTTTTTTACCTGACATTTTCTTTTATCACGTTTGTCAATGTTAAACTTTAACGGTCAATAAATTTAATTCTCCATAATTGAAAAATATAAAAATTATATATTATGATAGTACTTATTGAGACGAATTCAAAATAATCCAACATAAATATATTTTTTCTTACATATTATTCATAAAGCACGGTCAAAAGAGGGGTGATGAATAATGTAAAATCAAAGTGAGTCAAGTAAAAAAAACGGAGGAAGTGGTAATTAAGTGACAAATTGACAATCTATCTATCTATATATTATACTAAAAGACAAACGTCTCAATGTGAGGATGACAAATGTCACTCTCTCATTGGCTTAACTTAAGTATAAAATATATTTATATAATTACTGTTTACATATTCAAGAATAGTTATTTTTGTTAAACTTAAAAGCAAGTTCTATACATGTATAAGATTTTCATGATTTCCTAACATAAATATTGATTTAATTTTTTTTATAATAAATATATACTTTCCAATACTACAAATAATCCATAAAGTCTTTCCAATCTTTATTTATAGTCAAGTTAAAGAATAATAACTAATTTGAAGCAATATGATTAAAGTGCCATAATTAAGTAAACAAATATTTCGTATTTTGAAAGGCTAATATTGTTTTTTTTTATGAAAATTAAATAAAATCGATAGAATTTAGTTTGACGTCAATTATGAAATCAATACAAACATTTAAAAAAAAAATCAGATGTACAATAAAATATTGTGCACCTATTATAAAAGCTACCCTGTAATGAATGAAAGTTATTTATGCTTTATTGATAAAAATTACCCAAAATAGTCTACAAGTTATCCTAAATTCAATTCAAGTAATCGGTTGAATACAAAAGTTTTTGATAAAGATACAAAATAGTGTAAAAATTACTTTTATCGTTTGTTGTACTCCTTGACAAATACTGCATGCTGAGCCGAAATGCTGTCTTGGAAAAAAAAAACATAATCTTGAACAAAAATTTAATTTTAATCGGCCTTTCATTTTCTATACAATGTCTTTTACAATGACTTTTTGTTTTTCTTGCATTAAAAAAAAAGGAGACATTTGACGGAAAAATGATAGATATAAAATGTATTATAACTATTACTCGTGTTTTAAATTGTAATATTCGTATTAACAATGCTATTACTTATGAATTTTTTTTAGAAAAACTAACATTTTGATTTTAAAATCGTGCATTGCTCATGCACTATACTAGATATACAACAATCATGTGCAATAATTTATGTTGTTTTATACATAATAATACTTTTAACTATAATAGTATGTTTATATAATATAATATTTTTTATAATATAAAAAAGTATATGTATATAATATAATATTTTAAAACACGTGTCCTCCATACCAAGTGTTTGGTTGTTGGTGTAGTGGTGATTGAGACTACACTTGGTAGGGAGGACCTGTGTTCGCTCCCCTGCAACAACAATCGAAAGGGGAGTGGAGCCTAATAGTCCAGAACAAATCCTCAAATCTGGATTAGCCCAAATGATGAACCGGATAGAATACCCAAAACTCAATGCATATATGACGGGAATTAACTTATCCTTTATCTATCTTATACAAAACTCCAAAGTCTAAATTTTTTTTCAAAAATATAATAATAACATTTGTAAATTTTTGTTAATATGAAAGATATAAACCTATCAAAATGTATATATAGTTAATTTGTTTAATAACTTATATCGAATGCGTAGTTTTATTAAAATTATTTGCATGTAATCATTAAATGTGTTGGGTGTTGTGTAACTATGCAATGTCCAAAACTTTAGTTGAGCGACTTTGATTTAGTGATTGTACGGTAAAAAGATATTGACTTCGATCTTGAAACCTAATAGTCTAATAAATTCTAAATAGAAAAATTAAAACAAAAGGAAATGAAAATAGTAAATGGCTTTAAATATTGAAATCAACATAACCTTTTAAATCAATTTAACGAATTCAAGAGACAATTTTAAGGCTTTTAAATTAAATGGGGGAAAATATATGTAAAAAGAACATTTTTAGATATATAAATGTCCATGCACTATTATAAGAGTTTTGTTAACCATTTTATAATTAAGGTAGGGATAAATCTTTGTAATATATACTCCGTATATTTTATTTATATAAAATTATCAGTATCCATACCTATATAAGATGTATTTGTGTTTTAATCAGTTGTTGGTTATATATATGACTATTATATAATATATAGTTTTTGGCACAATGCTTAACTTAGGAAAATATATGTTATGGTAGGTCAAATATAAGGTTATTATTGTGTCTATAGATTTAATGAATGCGACGGGTAAATAAAACATGTATATATTAGATTGATTGTAGCTACTGATGCGGATGGTATGATAAGAAAATTTTAGTTTTTTCTCAACGGGAGATATAAATAAATTAGTCCACTTCTTATATAGCTATGTGGAGTATTATTCAATTATTTTTCAATTAATAAAATAACATTATAAAAAATTAAAAGAAATTCAAATAACATAAAATGCTATTCAAATAACGTTCCTTTAATTTTTTTTATTGACCATTAGTAACCAAGTCCTTTAATAGTAAATGAATTACCTTTGTTTTTATTTTTATTTTTCCTATGGGTTTAATAATTTGATTTATAAACCGTGTATCGCACGGACACTATGCTAGTTGACAATTATTTGACATGGCGTCTAATTGAAGCCTCTTTTGGGGAGGAAAATAGACTAATTTCACCGACATCTTGCCTTTTGGAGTTTTGGGTCTTAACTTCTCAGCCCATAGAGAAGGTAGTGGCACTGGGCTATAGGGTGATATGGGCTGAACTTAATTACGCTTTTGTGATCATCACAATTATGAACTTCCTTAATTACCGGCTGTTTAAGATTGCAATAATTCATGGATAATTTTAATGAGATTTTCTTGTAAAAAAAAAAAAGTTTAATGATATTTTTCAATTGTTTTGGGATAAAGCATTTACGCATCTATCATCTAAATTAAAATTGTATTACCCAATTAAAATAAACGCATTTAAATAAGTTACAAGTATCACTATTTTCTCACCTATAAATGATAGATAAATTTCGTACTAGTACTATCAAACAAGATAAATATCTATTATTTTAAGTGAAATATGGAAAACAATGCTAGAAGGAAGAGTTCACAAAAATTCAAGAACAAATATTTAAAGAGTTGTGTCTAAATTGAGGGTTAAAGGATCATATCGGATTTTTGAACATCGGTTATATCGAATTTTTGAACATCAGTCATACCTAACTAACTCATTCAGATTTTTAAATAATTCGATCACACATCTTTCAGTAAAATATAGCTGGATTTGAATCCAACTCAATTTCAAGCTGATCAAACAATTGGGCATGAAACTCCATTATTTAGCTCCTAAATAATAGGCAAGTAATGACATAGTCTCATGATGTATTAATGTATTGATATATTGTTGATCATCACAATAAAAAATTATGCAAATAATATTCGATTCCATATTCTTAAATATCATCATCTCAAGATTTTATCAACCAGACTAATTGACATTGACTCATGTTTTCCTTAATCATTATGCTAAACACAAAGAACATTAGTGACCCAATTAAAGAGGTTTACTCCACCAATGCCGTCAAGTAATGTTATTATCAAATGAAACATACTGACACCCGTCAGTTAGGTACCTGATGCCCGATACCTTAACTACTACTTACTCTGCTGCATCCTTTTTATTATCTATTGTTCCTCTCGCCCAGCCTCTCTCTTTCATAAATCTCAACTTGTCCCTACAATTTCATCACCCACAATTTCTTTCTCAAAAATTTAATTAAATAAATCCATAATAAATTGCATCCGCCACCGATAAATAGTCCCATATACTATTTTACGATTACAGTATTAATACCGAGTACCTCGTAGTAATTACCGACAATGCGATTATTTTTTCGTATAATTATTGTTGTAAACTAACAGTAATATAGTAATCCTTAATTATGTTTCTCCTCCATCACATCAAATTAAAGTAAGATTACAAGGAGATAAAGGTATATGCTCTTCTCTTCCCTCCCCTTTTTATCTATTCCTCAATTTCAGAAAAAATCTGCAGAAACTTTTGATTCAAACTCTCTTCTTGACTCCATTATATGATCAATGGAAATTTTTTCTGAGCTAATTCTTACGATTTCTCTCTCTTTGATCTTCGCCTCTTTCTTCATCAAGCTTGTGTCAATGCAAACAAACAACACCGACGACAACGACAACGATAACAATCACGATAAATTAACAGAGGAAGCACAAATGATCGACAAATTCCAATACACACCCTTCAAAGAAGAGGTGATCAAGTTTGAGGAATGCCCAAATGAAGGTAAATCTTCAGTAGAATTGTATAATGTAGTAGGGGTAAATAAGGAAGATTATAAGTTTCAAGATGTTGAGGTTGTTGATAGTTATGAAGAGGGTAAAACAGAGGGTAATGATGATGATGACGACAACGACAACAAAAACGTGAGATTTGGATCAGAGGAAGAAAATGGAGGAGAGAGAAACTTGTGTGAAATTGAGATTGAAAGTGAGGATGAAGAAGGAGGGGAAAGAGAAATTGGGATAATGGATGATTGGGAGGAAATTGGAAGAAAGGATTTTGAAGAGCTTCTTGGCAATAAAGCAGGGTTTTACAATGTTGAGGTTGATTATGAAAAATGAGATCAAAATTTGAAGTTAATTGTAGAGATTGTTACAATGTTGTGGATTTGATTGTATTTGTATAAAATTTAATTTGGACGAATAATATTTAGATTTTAGGGATTGCCATTAATTGTACTTTTGATATGGAATAATAAAATTCTTTTGATTCAATTTGTTGCAGGCTTACTATTTTGTGTTTGTACTTCTCATTAATGCCCAAGTATACTCCTTACTTCTTTCTTGGGTGTGTAAATTTGTCTTTTGCTTTCAATGGAGGATGACTAAATTAGTTGCATTGGCAATTTTGCAAGTTTTTACAACTTACAAGCTATAGATTAAACGATTTGAATCCAATTGTGCATGCATTAATGACATGATCAATCACTTAAAATGAGTCACAACTTGCCGCTAAGAGTTCAGTTTTTTCAGAATGATTTACTAAATTAAATTGATATACGAGTATACAAAATAAATAAATGTACAATTTAAGAGGCTAAAAAGTCACAATACAATGGTTAGGAGGCTAAAAACATCACAATACATTGGTTAAGTACTCAAGTGGTTACATTTTTTTTCCTCACACCGTAAGACTTTATTGGGAGTGAGGGGATGAGGGAATTTTCACCCCCAACGAGTCACTACCTTTAAATATTATATCTCTCTCATCTCTTGATCCCACCTAAACCCACTACTATTTTTTTACTCCCTCCGTTTCAGAATGATGTTCTTATTTTGTAAATCGATGCAAATTTTTACCCATTTTTTACTGTAAATATCTTTAATCTCACACTAACAAAAATTATAAAAGTAAGATATTAATAATCTACTCATCAAGACGATAAAACTAGATCCCACATTACTATATTTGTTCTTATAGATTAAGAGAAATTTAGAAGATTCTCTAAGATTCTAAACAAGAACTTATAGAAGAGAGAGAATATTATATAGGAAATTTTGTCAACAACTACCAATTAAAGCACGTGTTTTAAAAACAACTACCTATTAATTTTTTTTAAAAAAAGAACTACCATAAAGTTGTAAAAAGTTTAAGTAGTACTATCACTAGCAATTTTGGTTAAATCTCTGGCATTTGGATCTCAATTTTTATCACTTTTTACCTTTAAGAAGGGTAATTTAGTCAATTTAGATGGTGATTTTATGAGGTAAAGATAAAAAGTAAAACCTTCATGCCGAATATTCTAGTTGGAATTATTAAAGTGGTAGTGTTACTTAAACTTTTTACAAGTTTTTGGTAATTCTTTTAAAAAAAATTAATAGGTAGTTGTTGTCAAAACACGCGCTTTAATCGGTAGTTCTTGACAAAATTTCCTATTATATATACTTCCTCTCACATTCATTACTTTTTAATAAAATATTAACCTTACTATATATCTTTTACAATTTTTTAATATTCCAACGACCCTACTTGCTCCTTATTTAAGTCGATTAAATTATCTAAAACTATGTGTCAGTCAAACTGTAACACTTATTAAAACAAGGAGGGACTAAGAGTAAGTTTAGCCCCAAGTCTTAAAACTTCGATGTGACATTATTTTTGGTGGTCCCCATTAAAAATGATGTCATCAAATTCTTGTTACCTCTCATTAAGACTTGTTCAAATTTATCACTTTAGCCCTAAGTCTCAAATATATGACATTTTTTTTTAATCTCTTTATATGTAGAAAAGTGTTAAAAAAAATAATAGAAATAAAGTTGAGATGGGTCCCAATCTCAAGTCTTAAGTTGAGTCTTGGAATTTCAAGACTCAACTTGAGACTTGCTTGAGATTTAAGAAAAAAAATGGGAAAAGTTTTAAACAAAAGTCTTAAGACTTAGGGCATGCCTGGAATTCCAGAAATTAAAAAGGGATAATATCTATGGGGTAGATTGCTTGAGTATTGATTTAGAGAGTAATAATTCATTTTCAAAGGTTTGGCAAAAATTATGGGGTAAAGACAACCACTCCATGGCAATCGGCGGCAACCATCATGTCGTTGATAAATTAGAGACCACCAAAAGCATTGCCTCACTTGAAAGATCAAAAGCCCTAACCTTTAGTTCGACTATCTCTTCAACCAATGGCTCAATTCATGATACTTGTTTGTAATTCGCCATAATTGATGAGCTATGGTGGCGGCTAGCAGCTTCCATTGGGCGGCTATAATGGCGGCCAACAACTTCAATTGGACGGAGTGATATGGAGGTGAAGGAGATAGTATAAGCAGGAGAGAAGGAAGATACAGTATAACAGTGGAGAGTGTTTTTTTTTACAGGGGAGATTGTTACCCTAGGGGGAAGGTGGGTAATTATTACCCCTTTTTAAGGAAATAGATTACCCCACTAATTAATTACCCTTGATCCATACTAAAAAAAAAATCCAAAAATTTTACTCATGTATTTTTTCCCCCTCCCATTACACCCATTCCAGGCATTCCTTCAAAATAATGATGTCAGACTTAGAGCCAAATTTGCTCTAATAAAATGAAAAGCAGATTTGCAATCACCTCGTCCACCTGACCTCACCGGAGCGCTGTGTTTGATGGTTCATTATTTCAATTCGCCCCACGACCTGAGCCCATTACACGAAAAAAAAAATGGCAAAAGAAAAAAGTTGCTTCAACCAAGACGGAAATTAAAACTTCATAAAACTTGAGAACTTCACTCTCATTTGTTTGATTTTCCACTCCAGAATCCAGATCTCATCTGAGAGAAACACGCCAAAATCACATTGTTTTTCTCCATTTCTCCACATCAATGGCGGACGATTAAACTAAACCTAAACTAATACTCCTCACTCTTTCTCTTTCTCTTAATCTCTCCTACTTTCTCAGAAACCGTCGAAAATGGGAGTAGAAATCGCAAGCGAAGTATGGGAGCTAAATCCGTCGTTTTACTTATTCATTATCGTCGCTTCATTCCTATCAATTTTCCTCCTACCTCACTTCTCCAATCGAACGACGTCTTCTGCTTCCGACACCAATGTCATTTATTCCTCTTTATCCTTCTTCAAATTCCAGCGGAAATTCCTCCTTCTCTATTCTCTCTCCTCAGGTATATTTCTCCTAATTTCTTCATTTAATGTTTGATTTCATCAATTAACTAGTCTCTAATCATAAATTTGATTGCTAAATTGTTGATAATTTGTGTGATCAGTGCTGGAAGGTTTATGGTTGGTGAACGGAGAGTATGAAATTGTAAATTATGGACTGACTAAACAGCAGATGATAGTGTTGCTATCTTCTGGATGTTTAGCTTCGCTTATTCTCGGCACCTTTTTAGGAATATTTTCTGATGCTTTGTAAGTTTCTCAAACTCTATTTTTGTTTGTTTGTTTTGATATTATTTGCGTTTTTTTTGCTGTTTGATTTAGTTTAATGCAGCGGATTTTTGCCTATGTTATCGTAAATTGTTTGTGTGTTTGAACTGGAATTTGTGTTTGTTTTTAGTGATGCGAGGTCGAGTGTTTGATGATCATGTACTAGGATTTGAAGCCAATTTTTCAAATTAATAGGAGAACTTATGTTATAGATTGCTTATTTTGAAAGTAGGTTAAGGAAAGAGAGTTGAATAAAGAGAAACATGATCACAAATTCTTTAAGTGGAAGGTTAAGAAAAAATATATAAATAATAGAAGAGAAGTGAGCTATTAGGCTCATCTGGACGGTATATGAAGCTATAACTATAACTATTGTTTCCTAGCTGCCTCCTGTAAGAGAGTGCAGCGTGTAAAGTAAGTCTTCGTAACCAAATACACTATAGGAAAAATCTTGAGGATGGAGTTCTTGCTCTTTAATATCGATTTTGAGTACATTTTTTTTTTTTTTTGCAATGCTTGTATGAGTTGCAGAGGCCACAAGAAATTATGTCTTCTATTTTCCATCCTACATTTGATCATGGCTGTGTGGAAAACACTTGCAGCTCATCCTGCTATTTGGATAGTCTGCCTCTGCTTGTCTCTCGCCAGTTCCATTTTTACGTTCAGTTTCGAAAGTTGGATGGTGGTTGAACATGATAAGGTGTGTGTTAGTTGTAATTCTTTAGTGTAATCATGGTTAAACACTTGAATGTTTTTGCTTTTTTGTGTTCATCATCGATACAATTTCATATTTATTTCCAGTTTTAGAAAATTTAACAATCCTCTACTTCCCTGTATTCTTTATTAGTTATTGGATTTTTTTTGTTGTGAAGTAAAAATATGCACTTCATGTATAACTCATTTACTCTGTCTTTCTCTGTTATCTTTTCGATTTGATTTATATTGTTACATTTCTCCTACATATTTGATGCAGCAAGGGTACAGGCAAGATGCATTGAATGATACTTTTTGGTTGATGAGTTTTTTTGAGTCAACATCTTTGATATTAAGCCAAGTTCTTGCAAACTGGGCTCTAGGCCATGGTTCTATGAGGGGTTTCATTTCTCCTTCAGTAATAACTGTGCTCTTGGCATCTGTCAATCTTGTTTTCACCATCAGAGGATGGCCAGAATCATCAGCTAGGGGAAAGTTTAAGGAACATAGAGCAGCGTTTATTGTGTTTTTTTTTGGAGGTAAGATTGATGCGATGTATTCTTATTGATTGTGCAGCCAAAACTGGCTACATTAAACTGCACTTAGCTTGCAAACTACTCTATTCCAACGTAGAGATCTTAAACAATGTAGCATGCTTCCAATGCTATGATTAAAAAGAAAGTAATTGAGGATCAACTTATTGAATGATTCCGTGTATGTTTTGCTTTGTATGGAACAATTGGTAGATGCCAAGATTGGTTTATGCATTTGTTAATTTTGATGTTTTGGTGAACAATGAGGAAATTGATTTTAGAGGCATCATGAGGAGGAGAAATTAAAACAAGAACAGTATAATTGAAAGAAAGTAAGTTTGATATCCTCATTGCATGTGTAGGTGTGTAGCATTTAACCTCTATAGAACAGCAGAAGTTACAACTGATTACAATTACTTTGTTGAGAATGGAATATCAGAACGAGACAAGATCCAGGTAGTTCTCAACTTAGAGATAAAATTACAATGGGATTTGAAGTCAGACAGCTCATTGAACTTAAAATCAGGAATGTTAGGTAATGGTTCCCTGTGTATCAGTTCTAACAATAGGAATAGGATACTATGACATCATAACTATAGTTCAGCCATTCCCCGTGTTACTTTGTCTGGATTTAAGTAAGTACAGCAGTTGTTGCCAGTGCTTTTGGGCTACAAATGGTCCGTTTCTTTTTATTGTCACTGAGTCTTGTTTCAAGTGTTCAATTTTTAACAATCATTAATTAGGTGAACAAATTGACCATGGTTTTGTATAGTTTATATCACCATTTTGTGTCATACTGTCAACTATTGCACTGTATGAGTGAATTGCATGTAATTATCTCTTGGCATCTTGAATAGACCTGTGCGTGATGTTTATCAAGTAAAGTAAATTTGGCAAATGAAACTTAATGAATTATGATTCTGTTCATTTTGGTTTGGGACATAGTGGTCAATAAAATTCATAATTGTATTCTAGTGGATGGCTTTTCAGCTGTTCTTCAAATTCCTCTGTTGACATTAGTACTTTTGAGGAAATTCTCATTGTTGATTGACTATTATAATCCACAGATAAACGGGTATGGCTATTGGGATGTGCCCAAGCTTGCCTTCACTTCTCTGCTGCTGTATTCTGGATTTTATGGGCACCAACTATAGTGGTACGGATTATTTTTTTTTGACGGGACTATAGTGGTATGGATTTAATGACTCCTGTTTACTCTATATTTTATCAAAAAGAGATAAGTGAATTAGTAAAGTATGATACTCAGCTGTTGTTCTTTAAAGTTATACTCCTTGTCAATAATGTGACCAGCAAATGCGTTCTATAAATGGGAAACCTTGTGGCTTTCCTGGGTTCAATTCCTCTTCTTCCGACCTCTTTTTTCAAGTAGTTGACATTTGTTGATAATGGTTATGTGGTGTATTAATTCATAACTCCTTTTTTTGTTTAGGCTGATGGTCGTGAAGTGCAATTAGGGTTTATGTATCCATGTTTTTTGGGTGCAAGGATGCTCGGAATCACAATTTTTCCATGGACCCTGAGTGGATTGCTATCACTTCGTGTCGAAGATTGCTTATTGTATGAATTCATCGCTGCTGGGGTTATCCTGGCTATTGTAGCATACGATTACCAGGTATAGGTTTTTTTCTACTGCATGAGGAATTACTATAAATCTATCCCACGTTTTGTAATTCTAAGGATGCTAAGATTAGTAGAAACTCATTGGTTTCTTTTAACAGGAAATAGGAGTATTTGTTGCACTTTTCTGCTTATTCCAGGCTGTTGCTGGCCTTATATTGCCAACTATTGCCCGGCTGAGGACCATGTACTTTCTCTTTCCTCTCTCTCTCCTCTTCAAAACACTGTCATTCAATAGGCCAGTGTTTCAAATGACTTCTGTTTTTGAATTTCTCAAGGGAACACCTTTAGGTTTGGGAGACTTTGAAATTGATTTTATTGATTCTTTGATTAACTATGCCTGTACCCTTAGATTTTTAGCGACGTAATGTACTATTCCTCTATTTTGACTCAAGTTTGAAGACAATTTTAGCATCAGCTGTAATATGTTGTTTAATTCATTAAAAGCACCAGATGAATAGGAAGGAGAATTTATGCTTCTCATTAAAACACACAGCAAAAGCACAACCACCACACGACACTGTTCACTTATCGGTTTTTACAGATTTATTATCATTATACTGTTGCAGACAACTTCCTTGGAAAGTCATGACAGTTGGTACTGCTAGTTTTATTTTTATTTACTGTACATCAATTTAGGGTAGCGGTCTAATATGTCCTTTGAAGTAATTGATAGTGGTTTTTTTTTATGCTTCCTCTTTTTCCTCCCAGTAAATAACGTTGTTTTCTATTCCAGATGAGTTGAATTACTGTTATTGTTTGTTTTTGCCATAGGTATGTGCCAAATGAGTTCCGTGCAGGGATGATAAGTTTGTCTCTGGCTCCAGCAAATGCTGCTATCTTGTGTGTTCTAATCCAGGTAAGTGCCACAATCCAGTCACACTCTTAGGCCAGTTGAATTTCTGTGGTGCTGGTTGTGATTTTTGGTCTTTGATGTAGTAAGTTGTAACGACCACAGTTAACAAATAAACACGCATTAGTAGTTAGATGTTTACTTGATTTCTTAACTGTTGATATCTTCTCTCTTTTTTTTTTTTTCTTTTTTCCCCACTGTAGACACACACTTGACACGTGTGGTTGGATGTGCTTAGCATGGCTATTACTGCATAATTTGTTCTTCTTTTATGTTGAACTATTTTTTTTTACTGATTTAAGGAACCCATTTATATGTAACAATCTTGATTTATCTTATCTTTCTAAGAGTCGTATGAACATTAAGGTCTTTTGTGGCGACCCTGTTCATCTCAAAATATTCAAGGTTTAGGGTCATAAAATCCATGCGTTGAAGCCCTGGGATTTGGGTTTTATGTAGCTTAATCACCTTAAAAAATAAAGGTAGAAAACAAATCTTACCTTTATTTTTTTATACCTTTTCGTTTTTTTTTGGCACACTTATATATAGTTAAAGACGTAAGAGTGTAATTGAAAATATAAATACCTTCCCAAAAAGGAATACATTTAAGTATAATGAAACAGAGGACTGAGGAAGTGATGTATAATAATGAGCTAGAAATTTCTGTTTTCATAGTCGCTATTCCCCCCAAGTATTTTCAAAATATCAAGTTTTTAATAATTTATAGTAATATAATCAAATATAATGATGCTCAATATGAACATTAGAAACCCACAATCCATGTAAAAAAGTAAACAAGGCAAACAAAAGGGAACAAAAATGGCGAAAAATATGCATAAATTTCTTATGATGTGTGAGGCCCCATACCCAAGAGTTAAGCAAACCTGTGTCATTTTCCTTTACAGTCTGTTTGGACAAGAAGGCCACAGTCCTAATAGTTGAATTAGGAACTACTTATAGAAGAGGAGATTCTGTAATTCTGTTTGGGGAGCTAGTGGTTTCAATTCATGCATTGCTCATAAAACTAATCCATTTTGACACGGTGTGTATATAATATCGTATTGATTTAGGCTATGTTGATTTTGCAGGGTGGCTATTACAGGAACGCCAACAATTCCACTATAACTGCCTTTGCTGCCCTGGGCTTATTTTTGGCCGCAGGTTGCATGTACATGTTGAAGCATTTGGGCAAACAGCCTCATCAGAGCTGGCACAAACAATGATCCTAGCATTGCCTTTTTTTTGAGGTTAATGCTGATGGAGGCGAATCTGCGAGGGAGAGAGATGATTTGGTTTGTTGATACTTTGATGCTGATTTTCAGTGAAAATAGCTAAAAATCGTGAAGTTATACAAGGTACAGAGTATTACTTTATGAAGTTCAGAAATTGAAATCTCATGGAATGTGGAGACACCGGTTCAATTTTTGCATCCTAGAACAGGCATTCTGCTTCTTCAGCCAAAGAATGTTACATGGAACTAGAAGTATCAGCCAGTCTCCCAACAGAGAGGGTGCTTGGACAGACTTAAGGTGCTAAGGGCTAACTTCTCTCCCTCAATCTCCTCTTTTTTTTGGCCGCAACTACCAGCTTGTATCTGGATCACAATCTATGAAGCTTTTGAGAATTTGTCAACCAGCTGCTGCTTTGACATTTTTTCAGATGGGATATTAATAAATCATCAGAGAAGTTGCAGGTTACAAAAATTGATTTCATTCTTGTATAACTTAATTCAAGTATACACTTAAGAGTTTATAAATACACTTTTTCAAAATTGAGCGTTGAATGATACCTGTATGGTACAAAAAATTATCTACCTCCTAACTACTAATCTACAAATGTACTTTGTATTATTCTTCTTGTTCTTGATCCCTGATCCACTTTGTTGCAACCCATTTTTCCCCTTTGATGACTGGGCAACTTCCATGTAACGAAGTCTGTAAACCAACAAATTGCGACTTGTGAATATAGAGGAGCACATGATAATTAACATGCCCTAAGCAAGGTTGGGGAAGCAGTACAAGTACGTGACACAATCTGGATTAAGTCACCTGATATATTCCAAAATGAACCTATCTCTAAAATAAATACTCATATGCAGTATGTCAAGCCAATAAAGCAGTCAAATGTACAATAGAGTAAAATTCCCAGACACTTCCATCCAAACACTTTTTCACAGCAACTACCGAAACAACAGTAAAGACAGGGAATAAATGGCAGTATACCATAAGATAGCTGCACAACGAAGTTGATCGATGGTTGGTTTTAACTTTTAAGGTGTAAGAAAACAACACAAGGCACATTCAAGGTACCTACATCTACTGAAAAGGGTGTTACAATTACACATGCTTGTCGCTAAGTGGTCATTTTCTTCAATAACAGTAATAATGTGAATAAACTTACAGGATCAATAGTTCCATTTATGAACAACGAGTAAAAAAGAATTCCATCTCCTCTGTGTGGCTTCACTTTCAAACCAATGCAATCTTTAAAATCATAATTGAAATCTAAGTTGTCATTCTGCATAAGATAAAAAGGTCAGTGGCATCTAAAAACACTAGTCAAAAGCAAAAACAGAGTACTCTAGTAATTCCTTGTCCTACCTCATAAGGAAACATGGTTTCTCCACCTTCTTCAACATCGGATAAATATAGCAAGAAAGAAGCAACCTGCAGCAAGGCTAAGTTATATACTTCACCCCCAACGACCAACAAATAAACAATAGAAAAGACTAGGATGGCAATTTGGAAACAAAAAGGGAAAATCGATAGGAAAAGCATGATCACCACCCTGCCAATTCATGAGTCTTGTCCTCTTGCTATTAGTAACCAACCAATAAGTCCAATTTTCATCTTTCTAGTTGGGTAAAGGAAAAGATATATATTATAAAGCACAAGTTAGCAAGTCCATACTAAAACATCTAGGCATGCTTGAGTTTACATAAGACACAGTAGAAGAAATATAAGTTAAGTTGTTTGCTTGAGATGATCTACTCAACTGTCTTCTCCATACCCTTTGACTTTTCTGCGGACCATATTCAGAAGGATTGAATGCATCGTAATGAGAATTATACTTCTGCCCGACCTCGTAGCGTAGGACATTGTATGCCTAAAACAAGGTTATATCTTTGAATTAGACAGCAATAGAGTTTACCTGAAATAACATCTTGATAAAACAGCATACACATGCACGCATGAACATATGTAGAGGCTGAATGAAATAAACACAGTGGCAATGTTAACAGAATATCAAAGCAAAGAGTACACACAGGCATGAACAAGTACCATAAAGGCAAAATAAAAAAAATAAAAAAAAAAGTCCAACCCTCTTTCTATACCTTGTGTGTAATAGACCAGTCAATGTACAACAATAAATAATAGTCTCACAATGAATTTCCTCAGCATACAACTATACAAGACAATCAATTCTTGAAGGTGTACACTTAAGTTGAATATGGCAGTAAGCCAGTAATGCCATAATGGAACTCTGAGTTGAGTTCTGATCCAGAGAGAATCACTTTAGCATTAAAATCATATAATGTGTACGAAAGAGTTGAAATAATCCAATAAACTTGGAAAGCTAAAATTCACTCCCTAAGATAACCATAGAGCTAATGCCATGCTATTCACATCTGCTTAAAATTTTGGAAAGCTTTAGAATTCACTCATTTACAAGTCACATACTTACATGTGTTTGCTCTCCATAGAGCTAATGCCATGCTATTCACATCTGCTTAATATTTTGGAAAGCTTTAGAATTCACTCATTTACAAGTCACATACTTACATGTGTTTGCTCTCCATAGAGTTTTTTTGAAAGTGGTAATTTGAAAGAACATCTCAAAAGACCCACATAAAAATTATAAAAAACACATGCAAAGCTGGGGAAAATGATTTTAAAAAAGCAGTGATGGGTATGTAATACAGGCAACAACTCAATCAATAGATTAATAAATAATTATACTAGCCAGTAGAAACTGAAGGATTGAAGGCAAGGTATACCTCCCCATTTGACCTGGGAATCATAGTGGCCCTTGCAATTTTCTCATCAATAAAATCCAAAATTCCAGTTTTATCTTCGTCCGCACTAATAAACATCCCAGAACTGGTAGACAAAAAAAATTTGCCGCACAAACATCAGTATACATATAAAAAATTTAATTCAACAAAAAAAAATAAATTAACATAACAAATACAAGTACAAAAATTATTAACAAGCACTGTAGTTAGCATCACAGTATTTCTGTAAGGCATAGATGCATTTATGTAACCTCAACTAGAACTTGGAGTTTTCTTTACCATACATTTTTTTAAAAGTGAGAAAGATTACAATCACAGATTAAAATCCCAGGTCAATTATATGCAATTAACACTACATCAAACCTTGTTCTAACACCCTCCGTACTCTCCATTGTCTCTCCTTTCCGTAAAGCTAACTTGGATGGTCGGAGTTGTGCCTTTGCCATACTAATGATACTTTCACATTGTTCTGCGGTAGCAAAGTTAGGAAAGTATAATACACGTGGTCTCCAACTCAAGACCTGCACAAGCAAGACATATTACAATTAATTCACAATTACAAAATGAAGAGTCCCAATTTCATTTCACCAAGATAAAATTTCAGTCAGTAACAGTTGTAAGAGATCTAACTGAGAGCATGGTAAGTCAATACATTGATCACATTACATCAGAAAGCTGGAATCCCAAGGACAGAGGATATGAACAAGCAAGGGAAGGTATAGACTCCATTCTTCAGCATATACACAAGATAAATTAAAGGCCATATCAATTGACATATGTACTTGTAATAATATGTGGCTGTTTCTCAAAAATGTATACTCTCTACCAAATAAACATTAACTTTGTTAATTATCCAAGAGACCAAGACCAGACCATCACTTACCTCAAATTAAAATACTACGGCTGTAATTTTCTTGTAGACCCTTACAGATGTACTTTCCATCATCACTCAATATAAATTCAAAAAAGAGTGTGTATTAACTTTTCTACATTCCCTTGGGTATCCTCCACAACAATTTTGTAATTTCTTTTGGGTAGAGGATTTTCCTACTAACCAATACCAGCTAGAAGATTCAGGCATGTAACAACCATGAATCTTGACCTTTGTAATTCTAATCATCGTTCCAATCTCTTACATCCTAGTCTCCTCAGATCACCTACATAAGTTCTACAATGTAAAAAATCCTTGGCATAAGGAGCAGTCTGTAGTTCATACTTCAAGCAACTTACAAACAGATTTAATCTACAACTTTTGACATCGAAGTCAACATCAAATCTACATGCACGTCAAGTTTCCAGTCATAAAATCCTTCAACTTAAATTACATGTAATGCAAAACTCTAATGACATAATTAGCCTTTGCGTAATGACAAATAAGGCTTAACTTGACGTACAACAAATTTAGATAATTACATAGGGATTATAGAGTGTAAGAATGTTATGTTGTTACTTATTACATTATTACAGTGCCTTTTTTAAACTCTTCAAATAGTCAACTAATTTGATCTCTTAGACCCCCTACCCCCCCTCCCTCCTCCTTTATTTAAGTTGACTAATGACCATTGATAATTCATGATTGAATGGTGACTGAAAACGTTATGTCAAATCTAATAGTAATTTATTGATAAGGAAATTTCAACAACTTCATAAGTTCAACAAGCTCAAACTCAACCTTTGGAGAGCCAATTGTGAAAACTTAAAACCACACTTCTGTCTCGAAATATCCTCAACTAAGCATTAGTTAGTTGAATAGCGAACATAAACATTCGAATTTTTCAAAGAACTACTGCAGCATTTAACAGCGACAGGAAGCAGCGGCAGCAGCAATGACAAATCTCATTCTAAAACTAAATCAATAATAATTCCTTCATATCAAATCTGCGACATTCAGACATCTTCAATCAGCCTCTTTTACTTCCAACAAATTAAAACTGCTTGATTCTTACACACATCCACATTACATACATGTAGCACCGTATCAGACAAAAATTAAGTCGAATAAGTAATTTAAGTAACGACGATTCACTTCAATGAAAACAATATGAATTCGAATTTATACAATCAATCGTTATTTATTTATTTATTTAATTTTTTCCTTTTGTGATCAATAAAATAAAAAATCAGAACAAAAAATTCCTCAATAACATTGTTTATCTCCTCCTAATTCAAAAAACGAAATCAACTTCATCAATTTCCCGCCGACGTCAAATTCAACTGAGAATAATGAAAAATTGAAGATGAGAGAGAA